AGTGAAAACTCAATGATGTAATCAATGAGTCGTGACTTTAAATTACATATAACAATTCTTACTATGAAATAACTTTATTTGTACATTTTACTAATATGTCAAAGGATCTAATATTATATTATAATGGTATTTACTCCTACATTTAATTAATTAAATTAATGTTCAATCTATAGTCGGAACTTCCTTAAGTTTAAATGTCTTGACATTTATGTGGCAATGCGTTCGCGTATTGCCGTCGAGTTTTACCCAAAGTAAACAGTTTTTACGTAATAGGTCGATGTCAATGAAAGTTTAACTTCAATAAATAAAGTCTGTTGTAATACGGAAATATGTTTTCTAATCTTCACCTTTTTACCCGATTGCTGCAGTTAGTTTGGGTTTCTATGTATGTTAGTTCCACTGCGACCTATCACGAATTTTTGTGACAATCGGCTTCGTATTCAATATTAATTATGTCAAAATTAGTATGAGAATGTAGTAGTTTACATCCGATAGGGGTCGCTGCAAAAAATTTAGTACAAATTTTGTCGATTATACAAGGGCGAATGTCACAAATATTCATGCTAGGCCCCTTGTAGTCTACACGAAGTGTCAGTTGAATGGTTTTTGTCTGCTGTTTATAATAGAGGTACAGTGAGCTGAGTTTATTTTCTTTTCATTTAAATGTTATTCGCATCTTCTCTTCTAAAGAAATTCCAGACTATCTAAAATGATTTATATATTTAGTTGTATTACTGTGTATCTTGTTAGAGATCTAGCATGTTCTTAATTAACAAAAAAAGAACGTAAATATTGTATATTTCGACATCGTTAACGCAAGAAACAGACCGTTTCTTATGTTTAGCTTAGTCTTAGGGTTGTCAAATTATTTAATTAATATTGTTATTCTTAAAAAAGCCAAAATTCAAATTAATTGTGCATCAGAGAATACAAATTGGAAAACAATTTTTTTTTAAATAAGCTGGTCCTTTGACCGTACCGACGTGAAAAATTACAATAGGGCAAAATGATCACATGTTTAAGTTTTTAATTTTAATAATAATTTGATATCAATTTAAAGATGTACTATAATTTCATAAATGTTATAATCCCCCCCTTTCAAACCCTTACAATCCTTTTTTCACTTCAAATCCAAATTTTATTTAAATTGGTTCCATAATTTGGCTGTGAAAGCGCGTCCGAGTTACTTTCGCTTTCAGTAAGGATGATTAATAATTTGTCTTATGCCAACCCTATTGTTAACTGAAATATTCATAAGATGAGTAAATCAGAACTCGATTTCATAGTGAAAGTATCTCTCTCCAAAATACATTTTTAAATCTCGGACGTAATAGTTTTTGTTAAATATAAACAACTTGACATTACTAATATAAAAACTACGTAATTAATTAAAAAATAACAATTATGATTCTATGATAATCCAATAAAGGTTTCTAACCGAATGGTGTTCTTTGTAGAGTACATATCAATAATCTGGTCATAAAAATATAAAGAACAGCAAACACAATCAAAATTTCAAACATCTGATGACACATCTATTCTTAAAGGTTATCATCGTTTATTTATTTGTGTATTTACTAAACAGTCTCGCTTATTGATCACTATACAATATAAATTGTTTATATTTGCGCGCGCGCATGTTTGCCGATGACATTCCCACTTACAAACACCGCACTCGTCTGCAGACCGTCATTTATCTCGTGACGTCATAAGGCCAAAGCTTCTGCGCACAAATTATATTTAAATTATTTAAAACATACTGGCCATTAATTTTTTACATCGTTCGCCAAGTTACCATGGCAACTGTAGAATATATCTCTGTGGAAATTTCCAGAACGTATGTCCGTTCAAGATCTCCAGACATTTAATCTTATCTTACTTCTTACTAATATTATAAAAGCGAATGTTTTGATGGATGGATGGATGTTTGTTTTGAAGGTATTTCCAAAACGGCTGAACGAATCTCGGTTAAATTTGGCATACATATAGATCATAGTCTGGAAAAACACATAAGCTACTAATTATGTTAATTCCTCGCAGACGAAGTTGCGGGCGAACGCTAGTATTCCATAGTCATAGTGCTACGACGTAAGGAAGCTTTATTTTCAACTTATATGCATTATTTTATCTTTAGTTACGGACTACTGGGTGCTTCGGGTTGCGGCAAGACCACACTGCTCTCGTGTATTGTGGGCAGACGCAAGCTGAACAGCGGAGAGATATGGGTGCTGGGAGGCAAACCAGGCACCAAAGGTAAAGTTCTTTTCATATATCTTATCTGCTGAAGAGCATCGGCACGCTCTGCAGTGCTCATCCCGTTACGCCCCGCTTAACCTAAAATTGTGTTCTGTGAAGCGACGTGCACGTAATGAGCCACCAAGATATCTGAATGTGATAGTATGTAAAAATTACGAACGTTTCACCTTTGCAGTCATTTTATGAAGATTGATAATGTTAAATATATATAAATAAGGGTAGCTGACCATCATTAACTCACTATACGTCCCCACTGAGGTGCTCAGAGTCTAACCTAAGTGAGGTGTCTAGGTCATAAACAACCACGCTGGTCCAGTGCAAGAAGACTTCACACCAAATTTTAAATACAAAAAAATTGTCAGTTTGTCTATGTCTAAAATATTTATAACTCTTTACCAGGTTCGGGAGTACCAGGGAAACGTGTCGGTTACATGCCTCAAGAGATCGCGTTATACGGAGAGTTCACTATCAAAGAGACAATGATGTATTTCGGATGGATCTTTGGTATGGAAACGCGTGAGATCTCTGAACGATTGCGGTTCCTGTTGGACTTCCTAGATCTGCCTAGCGAGAGCCGTATGGTTAAGAACTTAAGGTAAGTCTGTTTGTTAATTTAATTAGTATATTTGGTCCATACAATAAGGTGCCTACACCTTATACATTCAAAAGTTACCTTAAAAATCTTAAACTGATATATAAACACGGCTAAACACTCACGTATATACGTCCGGTGGCGGCACCGACTAGTTTCGAGCCCATCGGGGGCCCTTCATCAGGATCAGCCGTGTTTAGCCGTGTTTATATATCAGTTTAATATAATGTCTCACGAAAGTTTGAATAACTTAAAAATCTTGTCAAAACACAAACTTAAATTACTATGTTATTAATATTATAAATGCGAATGTTTAGATGGATGTTTGTTAGAAGGTATATCCAGAACGGCTGCATGAATCTCGCTAAAATTTGACATAGATGTAGAACATAGTCTGGTAGAACTCAAACACTACTAATTAGGTTTTATTAACTTCCTTGCAGACGGAGTTGCGAGCGGCAGCTAGTTGTAAAAAAAAGCGAAATTAGTATAATAACAATAAATAGTTTTTTTCTTAAATAATAACATGCTAAAAAGGATGGCTGGCATTCCACAATTCTCGCGCAATTTCTTGCCTCGCACAGCCGCGTTGTGGAACGGTCTTTCCTCAGCGGTATTTCCAAACCAATACGACTTAGAGACCTTCAAGAAGCAAGCATACCACTTCCTTAAAGGCTTGCAACACATCTGCAGTTCCTCTGGTATTGCAGATGTCCATGGGTGTCGTTGATCACCTCGGTGTTTCCGCCGATCGTTTGCCCCGTTCTCTTATAAAAAAAGTCTTCAGTATAAGTTAAATACAAGTTTGTAACGTGTTTCAAACACCGGTAGTTATTCGTAAACAATTCCCACAACATATAACCAGAAGTATAAGATAACAAACAGTTGATCAAATTACTTTAAATAAGGAAATTGACTTCCCTACGTTACAAAGACGTATCATTTTACTATGGGAACATTTACATTGGTTAAAACAATTCTTAATTACCACGAGTAAGTTTAATTTAACAGTGATAGAGCCCGCTTTAACATCTTCATACGAATTGGCCCGGTGAAATACCACGACCACACAGAAGACAAGCGTCAAGTGGAAGCAATTCCGCCTTTCGTCTGATGAGTGTATCCTGGAGGCCTAATTTACTCCTCTTTCACTTCCCACCCTTTTTCTTCTAAGGAAAGGATGGGAAGTGGAAGTGGACTTTCCGGATGAGAGGATGCATGGGATGGGAAAATATTTTCTTTCTGTGCATCCTCTCCTCCGTCGATTGAAGGTAGGCAACGCATATGTATGTCTATGGGCAACGGTCACTTCGATATTTCAGCGATTTCAGGTGGCCGCTCGCTCGTTTGCCACCTTATGATATAAAAAAAAGTTCTTAATTAACAAAATATAACTTAATACTATTAAATATTCATATAGATTATTCATATTTAGTACGATAATGTTATATTTATTTTATCTTGTAGTTTGAATAAAACAATTGAAAGTCAGATGTACTCTAAAAATAGTTGCATCAGTGCAAAAATATGTATATGAAAACATATAGCTATCTCTGTTTATTTGAAAAGAAAGAGAGAGATAACATCTGTTTTGTCAGTTTAACCCAGCAGTCGAAGTGGTAAGCGAGAAACTTTTATAAGCGAGTCATTGTCCTGTATCAACAGATTTTACAAGAGAGATATCACGGTTCCTTAGTTTCTCTTTTATCCAGGTTTAACTACACTTACTATAAATTAACTCAGTTCTTAGTCACTTATTTATTTACTATCTTACGTAAATGGCTTAGTAATTATATTTCAAAACAACTTGCATTCATCTGTCATGTTTCTGGGAAAATATTTACTCGAGCTGTCCGTCAAATAACTGACTCACCACATTACATATTTTCCCTTCAATTGAGGTTAAGGTAAATTTGTTTTCTTTATACTGCAGATGTGTGATCAAATAATTTTAAAATTGCATTTCCATTTAAAGGCTTTTTTCTATAAGTGCAGGTACAACTGCTAATATCATTATTCGATTCTTGAAATCTAATTTAAAATTATTTCTATTATTCTGCGTGAAACGGAATACAAAAATTATTTGATCTCTAAACAATAGATAATATTTACGCATGCATTCTTTATGTCCGTTAGAAAACCAAATGAATTAAAAATGTTTTTAATTATACTGCGTATAAACAGAAACGCTTCGAGATCAAATATTAATTCTGGCTGAATGCGAATGATGTTGCTTGCAGAACATTCTGCCAAAGTTGGCATACTGGCCTTTACAACCTTTGCCTTTTAGATTGTAAAAAAAGAGAAGTGAGAATAGAACAAGAATTGCGCGGGAAGTGTGAACAACGAGATATAGTCGTGAATAGATTTAATATTATTATAAATATGTATTTAAGTTTTATTATCAAGGATTTTTATAGCGAACTAGCGGACCCGACAGCTGTTGTCCTGTCTACACGTCTTTAATTCGAATATTATTTAAAATTTGACACTGCGATGGTAGCGCCGTCTGTCGGATCCAATGTAAAACATTCCAAAATCAACTACTACTAATAAATTAAATATTAATTAAAAAAACATTGTCCAGCGGACAAAATTGTGAATCTAAACCATACCCAGATCCCCTTGAACACACACAAAAAATTTCATCAAAATCGGTCCAGTCGTTTGGGAGAAGTTCAGTGACATACACACTCACAGAAAAATTATATATATAAAGATAAAGCATTTTGTTTGAAAATAGAACTAACGGATGACAAAATTGGCAAATGTCACAAGGTCGACGTCATCAAGGTACATTGCTGTTGCAAAGGAAATTTCCTCATAAAACTGCCCTTGGCTGCCTCCGTTTTATACGAGTGCACATCTTGCAATATTGTTTACATACGGCTCTTTAGTGTATTGTCCTAACTCCAAAATTAATATTTTTCAGAAGTTCATTTTTATTAATTTTATGTGTTCTTATTTACTTTCTAAATACACGCACGCAAATATTACAAATGTTTCCTATAATTTTGTTATTTGCACAAGGTTTTTTCCTGGATTTGTGTTAAATATACGATTATTTACGTAGGACAAAAAACTCATTTTTAGTGTCATCATTATCTACCAGAACTCGATTATAAAATGCTGAGCAACGCTTAAACAAAATCTAAGATTGAATACATATTTAAGCGTAATATTTAAACATAAGTTAAATAAACGTGAAGTTATTTGGATAGCAAAAGCGGATCGCCTTGTATTAAAGGTCGACACGTGTAGTTTTAAATCATTGAGTTTATAAAAATGAAAGAAATAATCACTATATTATAAGATTAATATACCTGCAATAGACGACAGTAAACTTGAATGTTTGTACGTTTGTCTCATTATTCGATGGTATTCGGATTTGACGTCTTAATCAAATATTAAGCCGTCAAATCCGATGTTTGACGAATAGCTTGCTCAAACATCATAAACATGTTTGATCCGTAGAATTTTTATACATGACAATTAGGAATGACGTTAATCTTACTAATATTATAAATGCGAATGTTTGAAAGAATGCACGTTTGTTAGAACCCTTTGGCGCGAATGACGTGCTTTCATTACAAAGTCCAGTGTCTGAGTGAATAGTGAGGGGACATGAACGTCGACATTGTAGTAAGGCTAGGGTTGGGTCTGCCACTGCCACGTTTTCTGATTTACTTCCTAACAGAAGGTATCATCAGAACGGTTCATCGTATCACGACAAATTAGCATAGATATAGAACATAATCTGGAAGAATGCATAGACATAATAAGGTTTTTTTTTTTAATTTCACGCAGACGAAGCCACGGGCAACAGCTATTGACTCATAGGTGGAATGTCTTTCCATTGTTCAATTTTAGGATCCTATGGAAATAGTTATAACCCACGATTTTGCTATTTCAATATTTAATGTTTTTAGTAAACTCGATATCTTTAAAGATCTTTCTAGAAACAATTGTTTCGAAAACCTTATAATCTTACAACAATTTAGATGTCCTAGATCTTATTATAATTAATACTATACCGTTTCCCACAACATTCCTTGTTATAATAATTTGAACAAAACATTTAGCTAAGTTTATAAACACCCGAACAACTGTTAGACAGATGTGTATATATATTTTTATCAGACAGCAATGTTTTGACTAGACCAATTGTGGGAAAAATACATGCAAGTATCAAGATGGGTTACTCATTGCTCATTAATCGTGGGTTTTCGAGACCAAAATACGTAGCGGATTTATCTGTATAAAAAATATATACTTATTTATTTGATCAGATTATTTATGACCAAAAATATATATTTAAAAAAAAATAACTCTTCTGAAATTTTTTCGATTTTTTTTCTTTACTTAAGTTCTTTAGTTTGTAGTAAAAAAATTATTATAAAAATATACTTTTCCTTTCTTTATTCTCGATAATTTCAAAGAATTTATGTTAGATTTTTTTTATGCAATCAAATATTAAAATGAAATCAATTTGCATCTTCTCGTGTTTTAACCTCAATACATAAACTTTCACTTCAATTGATATCGTTTATATGATCTTTGTAACGCAATAATTTTATATTCAAAGTGAAAATTTATCAAAATCACATCGTCATGGTACAATACTATTATAATAAAATGCTTACGTTATTACCCAAAGTATTTGTAAGATTTTAACTTGAGAATCTATTTCTTTTTTTAAGTTAATATTATAAATGCGAATGTTTGTATGGATGTTTGTTAGAAGGTATCTCCGGAACGGCTCAACGAATCTTGATGAAATTTGACACAGATGTTGAGCATAATCTGGAAGAACACATAGGCTCATTACACTACACTCAGTTTTTTTTCTAATTCCTTGAGAATGGAGTCAGGGGCGACAGCTAGTTTTGTATAGATGTAGAGTATAGTCAAGAACATATAGGTTACTAATTAAGTTTTCTTTAATTCCGCGAAGATGAAGTCGCGGGCGACAACTGTACAGTATGCTTTATTTACAGAATTACGTTGACTATTATGTACATTTGACAGTACATCGAGTCCGACAAATAACGGTTCAAAACAAACTCTTTGTGATAATGAATCTTTCAAATATCCTGTTACTACGGTATGAGTAACGGTTTACTGACGCTACACTATTTCGTCAAAAAAGATTTAAGACTGTTTTTTTAAAGAATATAATTCATGAAATTTAGAATATAATACCAAATTAACGGTCAACCTTCAACACTAAAGAGGTACTAGAATAAGAAAAAGAATTCATGATTAGTAATTAGATTGATAAACTGCTTTTGAAGTAAAGGCGTTAAATCTTTAACATGATACTCGTAGTATAGTAGCACTAGCTGTCGCCAGCGACTCCGACCGCACGGAATTAAAACATAGTAGCTTATGTATTCTTTCAAACGATGTTCTATATGTATGTCAAATTTCAATGAAATTCGTTCAGCAGCTCTGGAGATAATACCAAACAAACATCGATACATCCATCTTAACATTCGCATTTATATTATTAGTAAGAAGTAAGATGGGCGTTACCAGCTGTTGGTGTATGATATTTCTACGGGGGCAGCTACCATTTGATCTTATTCGAAGTAATTTTTACATCTATATTACATTTCTCAATTTTCCAGTGAGAATTGCAGCTGCCCGTCCCGGGAGATGCCTATTATACTCGTATGCAACAAAATACACTTTTAAAAATACAAATTCAAACTGTAATGGTTAAAGTATTATTTTACTGTAATTAAAACATTTTTAAGAAATAAAATAGTTATAACTCTAGCTTTAAAAGTTTATAAATTAACTTAAAATCAATACATAAATTTATGGTATATTCCAGTGGTGGTCAACAGCGGCGTGTGTCATTCGCGGTGGCATTAATGCACGATCCGGAACTGCTGATCCTGGACGAGCCGACTGTGGGGGTTGACCCGCTGCTGCGTCAGTCCATCTGGACACATCTCGTTCAGATCACCAGCTCGGGTGACAAGACTGTTATCATCACAACTCATTATATTGAAGAGGCGAGACAAGCACACTGTGTGAGTACTACAAGATTACAAACATCGTGACAGTTTCTCACTGTCTTTATCCCACTCTAAGGTCGATATATCTTCCGTCACCTTTCACAGTTATAAATTTTACCCAAATATGATTACTATTTCATTAAGCATATGTTCATTTATTTACATCTTCTAATATATAAAAAAATTCTCGTGTTACAATGTTAGTTACTCCCCCGAAACGCATTTTGTTTGAATATTTCGGCAGTGCAAAATTCTTACGTAAGAATTATTCCGTTCTTGTTTTTAAAGTAATTTTCTTTTCGTTTGCATAAAAATGTTATATACACAAGTAAATATTCGATTTTTAAAAATATTAAAAAGATTTTATTAAAATTATTCCTAACCTCTAAAAAAAGTTTTTATGTAATTTTTCAGATCGGTCTTATGCGTAGCGGTAGACTACTCGCCGAAGAGTCACCGCAAGCTCTCCTCACGATGTACAGCTGTATCTCTCTTGAAGACGTCTTCCTTAAGCTCTCTAGAAAACAGGGTAAGCAGAGATAATAAAATAATTAGTATTTACGTTGTATATTCGCGTTTCTACAAGAAACTTCGTAAACATAAAATGTGTCTTAAAGTTTGAAAACTGAATCGTTGTAAAATCAGTACAAACTACAGACAGATTATTAAAAAAAAACAAAGTCTATGATTATCGTATATAATCTACAATTCCACGCAAGGTTTTCTTTTAATTCTTAACGAGACACGGGCAAAAGTACTTTAGCATTCTGCCAATAACTGACATTGTGGATACGTCTCCAAGGCCATTTGCAACAACCATTGAATTGTATTAAAATTAAGTAATTCGTTAAAGTACTACAAAAAATATCATAGGCCGGAAACATCAAGATGGAGATAAAAAAAACTAAAAAGTTGACATCAAATAATTTTGACACAAAAGTGTCTAATTAAGAACAAAAAAAATATTCTTAAAGTCTGGTTGATTTAGTTATTAATATTCTTATGACTATTAAAAACAATAAATAAATAACGTCACAAAAAAATATTTTCTTGTCTATGACATACGTCACTGGCAGCGTAATGGCGCGTTTTTTTAGCATAGAAGTAAACTTAAGGTTTTGCGTAATATATTACAAACAAAATGCAAATTATATTTTTTGCGAAACATCGCATGAGGAAATCAATTATGGAAAAATATTTGACGTTGGCAACACATGTATTGTGATTTTAACATAACAGGAAATGTTTAATATTTATTTTTAACATTTTTAACATAGTGTATAAATTTAATACTTCCTAATTAATAATTTTTTTATAACTAGTGTTTAAAATTTAAAAAATTAAACAATTACGATTCTTTGCATAAATATTCAACCGATCACAAAAAAAATTACGAGTCCTTTGACCAATTTTATTATTTTTAATTTCAATGGCAGTGAAGCGATCTTTTTTTTGTATTTAAAAAAAAACTCAAACATCTGTACATTTAATTTTAAAAGTTTTAATTTAAAATATAATTAAATGTACAGGCACATATTTTTTTGACTATTGACTTAATATAAATAATCTTACTAATATTATAAATGCGAATGTTTAAATGTATGGACATACAACACATAGGCTACTAAGTTTTCATTTAATTCCGAGCAGACGGAGTCACGTGCGACAGCTAGTAACCTATATACCTAATTTATACTACCATTTGATATCGTGACATGGAAAGTGTAAAATAAATTTTGTGTACCAGGTCAAGCCAACCAAGTTGTGGAGCTGAATGTATCAGGTGGGGCGTTGGGTCTGAACAAGATGTGCAAGCGTGAGGAGGCGCCTTACGCAGCGGAGGATGCTCAGGTGGTCGGCCTCAACTTCCACCAGAGCAAAGAAGTACTTATTGTTGATAATGGCGCAGGTTCTAACGGAGATGTAAGTAAACTGACATGTTAATTGTGAGTTTCTAAGACTAAGATCTCCGTTTAAATAATATTGTGATCTCTGTTATGACAAAGTTGACAGGTATGACAATATGTTTTGTACTAAGATTTTTGTCTTAGAAACTCACTGTTAAAGTCATCAAGTGTTTAATAAAGGAGCTTCTTAGTGTAGTTTAAGTAAATATTAAATTGTGATTGCGGCAATTAAAGTATAAGAAAGTAAATTTTTAGTAACAATTGCTAAGTATCTTGATGAATTATGTAAGACGGACATTTAAAAACGTAACTTTTTGTTAACAATTTCATTCCTAAAACTTATATAAAAACGGATAAAACGGTCGGTCCGGTGGCGGCACCGACTAGTTTCACTCAACCTGATGAAGGACTCCCGATGGGCTCGAAACTAGTCGGTGCCGCCACCTGACGAATATACGTGAGTGTCTAGCCGTTTTTATATCAGTTTAGTATAATGTCTTTCATCATTCATCATCAGCTCACTATACGTCCCCACCGAGGAGCTCGGAGCCTACCCTGAGTTAAGGGTAATTAGGCCATAATCAACCACGCTGGCCAAGTGCAGGGTTGACTTAACATACTCGTATATCTGTGAATTTCCTCTCAGATATGTGCAGCATCACGATGTTTTCCTTCACCGTAAGAACGTCGGATAAATGAACATATGTAAATCGGCAATCGAAAAACACATTGGTACATGGCGGGATTCGAACCCAGGACCTGCAGACAAGTCAAGTGCTTTACCACTGAGCCAATGACGCTCATTATAATGTCTTACGATAGTTTGAATAATTTAATTCCTTGTTTCAGATTCCCGGCAAAATGACTGAAGTAGTGACAACTGAGTGCGAGGAGTGTGGTGATTGCTTAAATGTAAGCTATATTATTTAACTTTAATTTACCATTTAGTGTTGATTAAAATTATAAAAACTTAATTAGCATATTCAAAAAATAAAGATACGTATTTGGTTTACTGTTTTTTTTTACATTGAATTTAATAATTATTTTTTTATTATTAAAAAAAGCTATGCATTTAGTTTTTATAGTCCGTACTTAGTCTTTGCTATGACTTAGCTTTTGCTTTAGATCTTGGAATTCGAATTTATAGTAGTTACGAGCCGTGCACATGCTATTCTCCATGTTATTTGTATTGTCAAATATCACGTTTTATTTGCGCGATTTTCTTAAAAAGTGAACCAAAGTTTTTGCTTTACGGATCCTAAAACTTGCCTTGAAAATTGCTATTGGAAATTTGGATTTCTGAAACCAAAAGTACTCGTTTAAAACATATTAACTCGTTTCATACGAACATTTTGGTCTCAGAAAGCAACGGTTAATTGTCTAAACATAGTCCTTAGTTTTAGACATTATTAGTTAGAATCCTTTGACCCCCCCCCCCACTAGAAACCCCTCACTCATCATTCGACAAGTGTCAGAATTATTTGTGAGGCTTAGTAGGGCTAGTGTTGCGCCAGTACACCGGCACAGTGTCGGATTTTCTTCCTAACAATACGTAATGTTTGTGTTGTTTTCAGTTAACATCTCGCGGCAAGATCAAGGCTCTGATCCAGAAGAACTTCCTGCGAATGTGGCGCAACATCGGCGTGATGCTGTTCATCTTCGCGCTGCCGGTGATGCAGGTCATCCTCTTCTGTCTCGCCATCGGACGCGATCCCAGCGGACTCAAGATTGTAAGTCTACCATTCCCTTACACTTTTTTTTTACAAGAGAAGGGGGCAAACGAGCTGGGAGAACACCGAGGTGATCAACGACATCCATGGACATCTGCAACACCAAAGGAACTGCAGATGCTCGGACTTTCCGGATGAGAGGATGCATGGGAAGGGAAAATATTTTCTTTCTGTGCATCCTCTCCTCCGTCGATTAAAGGTAGGCAACGCGTATGCAATTGCGTATATCTATGGGCAACGGTCACTTCGCTACTTCAGCGATTTCAGGTGGCCGCTCGCTCGTTTGTCACCTTATGATATAAAAATTAAGTCATTGTTTTATCCAGGCGATAGTTAACGACGATGTGAACGTGATAGACGGCTACTGTCCGTACAACTCGTCGTGTTCAATGAAGAACCTGTCGTGCCGGTACCTGGACCACCTGAAGAACCAGTCCATCATCAAGCAGTACTACTTCGACGTGCAGTCAGCGATACAGGCGGTGAAGGACGGCGACGCTTGGGGAGCTATCTACTTCAATGAGAATTATACTGACGCTCTCGTCGCTAGACTTGCTCTAGGTAAGTTTATATTATCATGTTTATTGTGGGTTTCTGAAAACAAAATCCTCATTAAAACATATTGTCATCTCTCTTTTGACAAATATAATGACAGGGATGACGATATGTTTTATACAGACTTTTTGGATTCAGAAACCAAGAGTAATAAGTACTTTAGTAGTAAGATTAGTAGTAAAAAGATTAAAAAATCTTAGGTTTTTTTTTGTAAAATAACGTCATCTATTAAAATGACTTAATGATACTACAAGTGCCATAAAATCGAACTTTATCGGATACTCTTTTTTCAATTTGACTAATATTATAAATGCGAATGTTTAGATGGACGGATGTTTGTTTGAAGGTATCTCTAGAATGGTTGCAAGAATGTCACTGAAATTTAACATAATACAAATAGACTGGAAGAACACATAGCCTTCTAATTAATATTTTTTTTAATTCCACGCAGACGGTGACACGGTCAACAACTAGTAATGTTACATTGTGATAACAACTTTATCTATAATATATTTCTTTCTGGAGTGTCATAATAATTTGACAATGTTATTATTTATTAAATGAATACAGTTGTTATTGCCTAAAGGGACTCCTTTTTTTAACATATTTTAGTACATTATTCGTTTTTTTTTTAATATTTTATTTTATATAATAGATTTAAGACTATATATAATTATAGAAAGAAGGATGTATAATAAATTTATTTTCTTATTTGTATATACAATAATGTGTGTGCAGCGGACACAGCAGACAACGACACGATCGTGTCCTCGGAGGTGCAAGTGTGGCTCGACATGTCCAACCAACAGATCGGACTCATGCTCAACAGAGACATACAGTTCTCGTACAGGGACTTCGCTAAGGTAAACCTATCACCTCACACCTCACACCTCTCACCTCTCACCTCCCACCTCACACCACTCACCTCACACCACTCACCTCCCACCTCTCACCTCTCTCACCTCACTCACCTTTCTCACTCCTCTCACATGATCGGAGACGAAAGCGAAAGCGTGCCCGTATTCCCGTCCTGATGCGTTGGAAAAACGGAGAGGTTTAGTTGGTATGCCTCCGCTATGGAGGAGAATCCCAGTGAACTACCGCGTCGCCCCCCCCTCCCGGGGGCGCGGAGTATGCATAAAGCATTCCTCTCTGGAAAAAGAACCCCTCTCACACGCCTCTCCTCCTCCAGTGATTGAAGGCATTTGCAATTACGAATATCTATGGGCAGCTGTCATTTCGCCATTTCGGCGAATTAAGGCCGTTTAGATGTTTGCCACCTTTACAAAAAAGAAAAAGTGTCATTGTTATTTTCAATTATTTTCGACGTTGAATCGAAATGCGTTCGAAGTTCATTTTTCCTTTTTTTTGTTTGTTAATTTGTTTTAATTTTAATATTGTTTAAATATCTGCAGGACCTCCTGGAAACATGTAACTACAACCCGAAAGTTGGCGACATTCCGATAGACTTCAAGGACCCAATCTACGGAGACATAAACCCCTCGTTCACTGACTTCGTTGCTCCCGGAGTTATTCTTACGTAAGTTATTTATTATAAAAAATCATATAACTATTTGCTATTTTTTTTATTTATTCATTGCTAAAAAATAAACAAAATCGAGTTTATTTTTTTAATTAATTTAATTTATTATACAATTTGAAATAAAGACGTAAAAATATTCTTTTAAACGTATTCTTACCATCTTAGTACTTTGATATTTAGAAAAACAAATCTACAGTTAATTACTAATGTTATCATTATAGGACTATGAGTATAACGCAAAATGATAATTTTATGTTTTTTAACACTCGTTAATTTCGTCAATGGTTATTAAATGGAATATTATATTATATTTTTTTATATTTCTCTTAAAAGCCTTAAAACGCTTTAAACCTCACGGACCAAAGGTCTCGACATCGAATGGGACAAAATAATTTGTCGTAATTTTTCCGCTATTGTTTGGATCTTTGTTTATTAATTATCTATAGTAATATTATAAAGCGAAGTGTTTGTTTGTTTGTTTAAACGCGCTTATCTCAGGAACTATTAGTCCGATTTGAAAAATTATTTTTTTGTTGGATAGTCCATTTAGGCTAAGGCTTTAGGCTATATAACATTACGCTGCTACCAATAGTTTTTTTAATTCCGCGCGGACGGAGTGACGTGCGACAGCTAGTTAAATATGTGATGATTAATTAGTTTAGAAAATTAAATATGTTTTCGAATAGAAAATTAAACATTTTATTTGATGAATGTGAAAATGGCGAATGTAAAATGTAAGATGTGTTTGTGGTGATGCAGCATCGTGTTCTTCCTGGCGGTGGCGCTGACGTCCTCCGCGCTGATAGTGGAGCGCATGGAAGGTCTGCTGGACAGGTCCTGGGTGGCCGGCGTCTCCCCCGGGGAGATCCTCTTCTCCCACGTGGTGACGCAGTTCGTGGTGATGTGCGGTCAGACCGCGCTCGTCCTCGTCTTCATGATCCTCGTCTTCGGCGTCAAGTGCAACGGAAACATCGCATATGTCATCATGCTCACTCTCTTGCAAGGTTCATTCTTTTTTATTTTTACTACATTTATCTTACTAATATTATAAATGTGAATGTTTAGATGTATGGATGTTTGTTAGAAGGTATCTCCAGAATGGATCTGGATGAAATTTGTCATAACTATAGAACTTACTCTGAAAGAACACATAAGCTACTAATTACGTTTTTTTACTTCCTCGCAACAGGGTTCGCGGGCGACAGCTAGTTTATACATCTATAAATAAAATTTATGTGTCTGACTGTAATATTGAGAAAAAAAATCGTACATACGATGTATTTACGAAGATGATAATGCAAAAGAAATTTGTCAATTTTTGTCTGTCTGTATGTCTGTCCGCAAAGTTGTGTTTGTTCTGGATAATCTCTGAAACGGATGCACTGATTTTAACGGGACTTTGACTGGAAGGTGGCTGATACACGCGGACATGTTATGGAATACTTTTTAATTTCTTTATATACTGCGCTGACGAAGTCGCGGACAACAACTAGTATGTGCACACAAAACTTTGTCTAACTGAATATAACTTTCAGGTCTCTGCGGCATGTGCTTCGGTTTCGTGATATCAGCCGCGTGCGAGTTGGAGAGGAACGCCATACAACTGGCGCTGGGCTCCTTCTACCCCACCTTACTGCTGAGTGGTGTCATCTGGCCCATAGAGGGCATGCCCTGGGCCTTGCGATACATCGCACTCTGTCTCCCTCTCACCCTCGCCACCACCTCGCTCCGCTCGGTCCTCACCAGAGGCTGGCCTCTACAGGATCCTGATGTCTACATGGGATTCGTGGCTACTTTGGCCTGGATAGCTTTATTCCTGGTTGTCACTCTCACCATATTACGTTTCAAACGAGGTTAAATCGCTTAGAAAAGGATGGAGAAATGCGCATTATATCTGTCTCCCTCTCACTCATACACTTTTTTGTTCGTCAAAGATAATGACAATAAGATTTAATAACTTTAAACATTTTGACATCTCTATTTGTATTCAATACAATATAGTATAGAGAGAAATATTTTTAATCTCCGTCCGTTAACCTATTTTTTAGGTTATGTTAGGTCGTTGAGTAATCTGTTTTTTTGTATCACAAAGCTCTCTTCTACAGGATTTTATTTATTTTTTTATTAAAACACTCATTTTTAATTTTATAATCTGGTAGAAAATATAACAGATTATACGCAACGACCTTGAGACAGATATTAAAAAAGTATGTTAGCATATGAAACTTTATTGCTCAAATCATTAGAACAGAATACGGGCTTAATTCTTACAATGAAATAACTAGATCTAATATTAATACAATGCACAATATTAAATAATAATAAAAACATCACAAATGCAAAAAAAAAAACAAAGTTTTTTTTACAATTATTGAAAAAATAAAGTAAATCTTTTACTTTTATAATAATCATCACAATTGGCTTGTGTTAGATGAACAAGAATAAAATTGAATTTCTGATCATTATCTCTGTTAGAAAGTTGATAAAAAAAAAAATATATTTTTACAAATAAACGACAATCAGTAACGTGACATTAATCAAAAAACGTAACTGAAGACGCCATGACAGGTTATCGTATGTTCGCGGGACAAAATACACAAATTTACGTTTTTTTTTTTTGAAAATATGGTACACAAGCCAACTAAATTAGGAAATACAGATAAAAAACTTTTTAGTAGTTCTTCAACTTGTAGTTACTATTTAAAATTTCATTTTGATGTTATTTATGAAAGAATTAAGCTCAATATTACTTTTAGCTAATTGACTGTTAGTCGACGTGTAAATATTAGTATGTTATTTATAAAACGGGTTGTCGTCAGACGCCCGGTAAGGTGGTTAGTGGGGAATGTTAGCAATTATGATTGGTCCAACGCTTTCCAAGGGTACTTTATACACGTATTAATATATTTTATACTTTCTCGGTAAAGGAATATGTTTTTGGGTGTGAACTTGAGACATTGACTTTGAGATACCTGAATAACGAGTTACCATAGAATAAGATGGTGCCATAGAAATCGATCGTGTATCGTTTAAAAAAAAACGTAAACCAGAACCTATATTAATCAATAAAGATGTAGAGTTACTAAAATGTTTCTATATTTGGTCAAAATTAAAATATCAAAGTCTGTTACGTATTAAATTTTAATTTTCGAATGGAACCGTTATGTACGGTCCAGTATTGCCAGTGAAATACAGAACATCAAAAGCAATGTAGTAGCGCCATCTTGTTTTTATATTAATAAAATTAAATAGAGATCTGAGTAGTTCCGTTTATTAATTTTAAGTATTAAAGGTAATGTCAATGCTTTTCAAATTATTGACTCTCTAGTTATAAAGATGTACAGTAAGTTAGGTTGTGCGTGGAGTCTAGGCTAAGACTTTGCAATAGTATCTAACGTCGTAATTTAGCGTGGTGTTGCATGTATAAATAATAGAATTATATAAAGGCAATCATGTAAACGTTTAAATTCTGTATGAATCTAGATTCTTAACTAGTTGTGTAGATTAGAAGTGTCAGACTGTGATTATTTTTGCTAACATTGACATTTTTGTAATGACAATTATATAATATAATAAAAAATTATACCAAATAAAATGTTGCTTTTACTTTCACCCTGTTGTTTCCATAATCGTGATAATTTTAATAGTTGACCAACCGTACCAAGTAAAAAAAAGTTAAATTCATTATGGTTTTATGGATGAACTGATGACAGATCGAATAAACTTGGGTCAAAAATGAAACGACGTCCAGTAACAATGGTAACATAGGAGTTTTGTTTTAACTCTCCAATATTGCTTATTAATACAAAAAATATTTGAACTGGTCTAATAAAATATAAAAGAAAGCTAGCTAGCATTACGGTCTATAAACACAGTATTTTACTTTTATGTAGTTAAAAATCTAAATGAAATTGTAGCTCGTTGGGTGCAGTGCAAGGAAGACATATTTTGGTAAAGGTCTAGCAACACTGAACTGTCATTGTCAAACTCAAATGACAGATGACAGCAACTTTTTAAAGGTTATGTTACACTGGGCTTATAACATTTTTAAACGAAAAAGTAACCCATTTTATGAAGAAAAAAGTATAAATCTAAACTAAAATCATGAATTTTCTAACAAAATCAATCTCTCGGAACATATGTAAGTAGAAACTAACATAACGAACATACTTAAATATCCTTTTTATCTCATAGAAAAAAAAAACTTACAGATTTAACAACAAGGCGAATCTTATTACCAACAACACGACAATCTTCTTCAATACCTGAGGATGATTCTCCCGTAGAAATGGAGAACCCATTCAAAAAGGAAAGACGTCAATGTATTTTGTGCAAGCTCAAAATAACGCCCGATTACAAAAATTATAGACTATTGTCTCAATTTCAAAGTCCATACACTGGGAGAATCTACGGCAGACATATAACTGGCCTTTGTAAAAAGAAGCAAGAACTTGTCGAAAGTGAAATTAAGAAAGCACAAAATTGTGCATACATGCCTTATTTCTATAAAGACAAAATGTTCCTTAAAGACCCTAAACTTTTCGATCCCGAAAATCCAATTCGATCGCATAGATTCTAAATTTAGTCAACAATTTAAATTTTTATTAGAATAAATAGTATTATTATTATACAAACTTTTTATTTGTCCTTGGAAACTCAACTCTGTTAACCCATTGAATGCCGAAAGTAAAATTTCTAGGTTAGTCAGTGATACCATGATCCTAAATGTGTTTAATAAATCAAATTAGCAGCAAAAAGGGGTTAAGCCGGAGTTATAAACGCAGGTCCTGGGTTCGCATCAAACCATGTACCAATGTGTTTTGATTTTCAAATACATATGTACATTGTCCAATATTCTTATGGTGAAAGAAAACATAGTAATGCAACACGCACATATCTGCAAAGAAATTAAAAAATATGTGTGAAGTCGACCAACCTGCATTATGCCAGTGTCATTGACTATGGCCTAATTAACCCTAACTTATGGTAGGCTCCAAGCGCCTCAGTGGGGACCTATAGTGAGCTGATGATGATACACAATGTACTTTAAATTTTTCACTCAAGAATATAAAAGGAAAGTATAACAAAAGAAAATATTTATTTTTTATCATCTTAAAATAAATTAAATATCTGTAAATACAGAACTGAAACATACCATGCTTTTTATGAACTAATACTTATTTCCACTGATGTCAATGCCAAGTGGAAATAGACTCTAAGAGGCTCTTTTATTTCATAAGAACTTTTACATAGAATATTAAATTATATACTACATGTCCGGGATTGGGTTAGGACGGTGCAGGATCGGAGAAAATGGAGCCTTTTGTTGTCAGAGGCCAAGGCCCACTTTGGGTCACTGCTTCACCTTACTTAGTTAATATATAATATAACCTTAAGATAAACTGTTATTAAATTATTTAAACTTACGTGAGACATTATATAAAAATGGCTAAACCACTCACATATGTCCCTCCAGTCAGTGAGCGACAGACCATGTTCGCAAAATAATTCCAGTCCCACTCACCTTAATGAAGGGCCCCAATGGGATTGAAACTAGTTGGTGCCACTAACAGACAAATAGACCTGAAAGTTTTAGCCGTTTTTATATAAGTTTATAAACAGTTATGTTACAAATCATTGAATATAGAAGCAAGTACACTATTATCATCGGGAGTACTAAAACAATCATTTTCAGGATCATAACCAACGTAAGAGGCTGGTATTTTTAACATTTCTAATATATTAGCATAGTTCATGTCTGAACGATCAGGTAAATTCTTCTTCATTAAAACTAAAAGTTCCATTAATGCATCCTGGCAACCTTTCCGCCATTTCTTTATTAAACCTCTCACCTCCTCAGTATCTTTACTTTGAGCTTTCGCAAATAAAAGTTGCTTTTTCATTTCAATTCTAGCTTTCAACTCATCTATATCTTTTTGTGTTATCGAACCTGTAGATTTAGCTTTCACAGGCTTAGTAATTTTGTCTTTATGTTTTGGTAGAAATATTGTTTTCTTGTTTAATTGAAAATCATCATCTTCATCACTAAAAGAATTTGAACTTTGTGATGATTTGATTTGTTCTTTGTTTCCTTTTATTTCTTTGTGGTTATTAGTAGATAAACTATTTTTACTGCTTTTTGATTTAGTTTTCTTTTTAGTTTCTTTATTTTTAAAGTCACAATCAGAATTGTTATTTTTAGATGTTATTTTATTAAAATGACTTAATGGGATGTCTTCATTGTCAGAATCTGACAAAATTTCAGGTTTTAGAATAGTTTTTTCTCCATTCTTCTTTAAAATTTTATTTTGTATAACAACTATACACTCTTTAACCAATTTACTTGGCAATTTATTGCTTGTTTCGTTTAATTTACTCCCTTCAATATTATTAATAGGAATATTTTCAGTTTCACTAATTTCTTCATTTTTTTCCACTACATCTATTGCTTGTATTGAATTATGTGTTGGCTGAATACCTTGACTGCTTTGTTTTTCTTCACAACTTTTAGATACATTTATTTCATTTACATTTTGTTCTTGGATAGTTTTCACAATTATTGCACTCTCTTCATCCTTGTAAGGTATCGTTCTAGTTCTTTTTCGGGTTGCCTTTCTAATAGGAGTGCTATCATTAGTATTTGGTAGCTTTTTGCAAACTGGCGGTGTAATAACAATGTCATTCATTTCATTTTTATCATTATCAACCGGCGAAAGATCTGTGTTTTCATCGTCTAACCTTAGTTTCCGCTTCCTTGTCTTCGGTTCCTCCTGTGAATTATCCACAGGTTTCGTAAGATTATTAGAAGCGAGCGGAGAAACAAACGGCGAAACTCCAGAATTCTTCCATTTCCGCGACAGACCCAGACGTCTTATCGAAGTCAAATGCGATTTGCTTATACCACCCGGAGTCTTTGGTGAATCCATTTGTTTAGATTTTAATCCTCGTTTTTTATATTTAAAAAATAGTGATCAATAAAAATATTCCATTTCGTAATGTTTACAAGTAAATGTCAAATTTCATCAAAATATTTCGCGCCATAAAATAATTCTTCGTCGTACCACCATAGATAAAATGAAAATGAATCATATTTTATAAAATAAATATAACCAAAAAATACGATTAAGCAATGTATGATTTTGTGTTAAAATTAAACGTTAAAATGACATTAATTCAACCTAATTTAGTTTCTTTTAAAGAAACAAAAACAAAGCTGTAACAGAAGGCAGATCTTTTACGCAAAGTATTTGAGAAAAAAAAGTAGTTGTCTTCTCTGTGGTTCGAAAACTAGCCAATCAAGAAAAACTCAATATTTCCATTAAAAACAAGCCCTTCTGAACTAATACGATCGAAAAAACGAAGTGTGATAATAAATATTAGATATATAAGTTCGAATAACGTGTAAAATTTTGTGCGAAAGGTATTTTAGTTAAGCAAGTGAAAATAGTAACATTACATAATGCCGTTGCTTCGACTGACTTCGGGTGGTTTTGGGCAGCTGCGTACTTTCGCTACGTCAGCGGCCCTAGGGAAAAGAATGAAGACATTCGCCGTGTACCGCTGGAACCCGGACGAGCCTGACAAAAAGCCGTACACGCAGAATTATGAGGTGGATCTCGATGACTGTGCGCCCATGGTTCTTGACGCACTACTTAAAATTAAAAACGAAATGGATCCGACCTTGACCTTCCGTCGCTCATGTCGCGAAGGTGTCTGCGGCTCCTGCGCCATGAACATCGACGGTGTAAACACACTTGCATGCATTAGTCATATTGACAAGAATCTGTCCAAACCATCGAAAATCTATCCCCTTCCTCACATGTATGTTGTGAAAGACCTGGTACCAGACTTGAGCAACTTCTATCGTCAGTACCAATCTATAGAACCATGGCTGCAACGTGACAAGGAAGCTGTTAAGGGTAAGGAGACACAGTTGTTACAGGATGTAGAAGACCGTGCTAAGCTGGACGGCTTGTATGAATGCGTACTCTGTGCTTGTTGTTCTACAAGCTGTCCCTCTTACTGGTGGAACGGAGACAAGTATTTAGGCCCTGCTGTACTCATGCAGGCATACAGATGGATTATAGATTCTCGAGATGATGCTACGGACAAACGTCTTTCAAAGTTAAAAGATACATACTCTGTATACCGTTGTCATACCATCATGAACTGCACTAGGACATGTCCGAAAGGCTTGAACCCCGGCCGTGCGATTGCTCAGATTAAGACATTGCTTTCTGGTATTGTTAAGAAGCAACCTCCGATCATGGATCCCGCAGGCTTGGAGAAACAAACAGCGCAGAACTAGGCAAATATAATAGATCTAAAGTGTTATTTGACTTGTACTTAAGGTACAATAGAAGATTTAGTAAATAAGAATGACCGATATACAAAAGTTAAGCAATACTAAACATTTTTAGACTTCTTTTTCCTTCAAGAAATGTCAAATCATAGACAATAATAGGACATATGAATTTGTTTTTTATAATTTATTTTTATTATTGACTTTCTACTCAGAAACTTGACTTGCATGATTCAATTATTAAAAACATAACAAAAATGAAATTATATTAAAAGTATTATTTTTTTTCATCAAATCACTTAATTTATTGTCATTCAATGTGATCTATTTATTAATAAATGCTGTAATTGTAAAAAAATGTTTAAATTGTGCTATACAACTGTTTTGTTTTTACGAAATAAAGATTGTTTAGTTTAACTTATTTTTATTTAATTTTCCTTATAATTTTATCTTGATTTGGCATAAAGTATATTTAATCTGTTCTTACCTTTAATATGAACCCTACGGTTAACAACGTCAAGACAGTGGACGAATGTGAAAGAGATGAAAAAAATGAAAGAGATGGCAATATGTATTTATTTGCATGAATACATATTGCCATCTCTTTCATTTTCTTTGACAAAACAAAGACAACAATCTCATCCTAATGTTATAAATGCAAAGGTTTGGATGGATATTTGTAACTACGTATTTCCAAAATTACTTAACGGCACTACACATGACAGATTTCTTTTTTACACGCGGGTAAAGTAGCATGCGATAGCTAGTGTATAGTCCAAGACTGGAGAGTTGTTTCTTGTCTTTATTCCATTAAAGTAAGGTCGGCGCACCAGGTTTCGTCTTCCAAGGCGATCTACTAAGTCTTTGTTTTTTTAGGAATTTTCCATAATTTAATTAATCAATTAACGCGGTTGTATATGTAGGTAATGTAATTAAATAACAATGATGGTTCTTACGAATCGACAAATAATCACGTAAGCGGGATCCGTAATAATTATCAGAATGGGATTCTTGTATGCATTCATTGGCCCGTACCCGACACCCCGCGCGGACAGCCCGCATCGGATTTTAGTTTGCTTTTTATGACCGTAGAGCTGCGTCCATTATCCGCGTAGTATCAAAAGCAAATCCGTTTAATATGCGTGCGGTGCGACCGGACCAATGGACGCGTACCTTTTAACGCAATTTTGAGAAAAATAAAATTATATACGACTTTGAAATATCATTTATTTTAATAATAATTTAAATACTTACAACATTATTATAATTATATGCACTTCAAGATATACAAAACTAATGTTTGCATATAAATTGGAAAATCTAATATTTTTATAGCCAAAAATTATATTCGGGTGGATTAATTTGCAAATCCAATACCAAAAATATTCTACATTTTTTTTTAATCACAGCAAGCGTAAAAAATCCAATAAAAACATAGTTTTCCTTCTCGTTGACTAAAATTTGGTGAAAAAAATGCATTGACCGATAGCGGACAACTAATCGTAAAAAATCATAAAAACTTTGGGAATAAGCCGGGTAGTGTTGCTATAAAAATATTTGACTCCAATGTAACTTTCTCTCTATACAAATAAAATTAACACAAAGCTCTTTTAACAAAAATATTTCAGTTGGTTTATAATTCATTTAGTAATTAAAATTAAAAGTTAATCTAATTTATCTTTAAAAAGTTTAATTAAATATTATTGAGATAATTGTTTGAAATACATACTAAAGGCGTGGTTTTGTTCCATAAAAACACATCTAGGAGCAAATCAAGTAACCAAAGAAACAGCAAAACACAAGGGCCTTTTGCAACGAATTCCTCGGCGAAGTACAAGTAGTCACTTAAATATATGGGTTCAAAAAAAATTACGTCGAAAATACTAAATAATACAGCCATATTAAACCTTTTTGCAGATTGAAGATAATTTAAAATCTATAAACAAACAAGGATACCTGTATCAGTGAGAGGCGCTGCTATCGCGTTTAGAACTGTCAGAAAATATATAAAACCTACATGGATAATGGCGTAAAAGAAAAAATGTGTTAGCTATAGTCCGAAAAGGAATTTGTGTCACTTTTTGACGTTGACAGAGTGGCGCTAGTGAGCTATTATTATATTTGTAGTTTGAAGACCATCACGATGGCTATATAAAGTGCAAACAATTCAAAGCGATTTTCTAACGAATTTCAAAAATAGATGAAACTGAGGCGCGACAATCACGTGACTTATCGAAAGTTATTTACAGAAGTTCGCTATGGAATCGCTTCGAAGCGAATGCATTTTGTCGAACCCCTCTAGTCAGATATCTTTGTCGGTCTATATTGAATAGATATTACTAATTTAAAAAAAAAACGTCTTGTATTTATTTGCGACCCGCGCCTCTTTTTTATAACAAGAAATGAACAGTGCTTAATATTGAGCGTGCTTTATAGTAGTCTAATATTACTTATTTTAATAACAATTTCAGCTACAAAGTAAAATTCTAATTTATTATAATACGTAAATCTTATAATAATTATGTTTACTATACCAAACGACACAAACAGCACCTAACACTATATTAAAGTATTCCACTGCAGTGACAAATATTTTTGCCATCCCTTTCTATCTTTTAGTGAAAAAAGAGACGGCAATATTTTATTCATAAAAGTATCAAGGCAGTGGAATTCAATGGTTAATACAATTCTACTATAAATCTATAAAAGTTTAGAGAAATCACAATATTTCACCTTCATGCCAGTTGAAAACTGAGTTTATTTAAAAACTATAATTCACTAAGCAGCAAGGGTTGCCATACTAAATAAAGGTTTTTAAAATTAAATATATATTTTATATCTTTTAGTCATAACGTAAATTAATATTTTGATTGTATAAAAGTGTCAACAAATTTTATTACTAAAAAAAACAAGCCTTAAATTTACGAAAAGTTAATAATTTTTTTTAAATCAATTTGCCTCAATACTTCTTTTTTTATACTTTATTTGATTTAATTACTTTTACAGATTAAAAAAGTAAACTGGCAACCCAAGCTTAAAATACCATAGACAATAATTTAGAATGGAAAATTATTTAAGCCCTATAATAAAATTTCTAGTTGCTTATATCAAAATCACGCAACACATTTTAGGGTATTTGACTTAAAAAAACCAGATAGTGTTTACTATCTTTTTTTTAACCCAACTTATTTACATACACTGGAATTCTTTTCCGTTATTAACCATAAACAATTATAATTAAAAAAAAATCACAGACTATAAAATTTACTGTTAAAACTTTAAGACAAATGCGAGGTAATTTAATTTCGGTGGATTAATTTAATCCAAAATCGTATTTAGAAAAAATTATCACTGGACATATAAAGTGTACAAGCCAATTTGACCTTTACGTACTTGTAATTACTACTAAAATTCATCGTGCAGAATTTACACAAGTACAAAACATGTTTTCTCTTTCATTCTTATTAATATAAACAAAGACAACAACATATTATAATTAAAATTTTTTGATAGGAAAACTACGGATTAAATGACTTAAAAATATAACTTAAATAAAATATAAACAAAATAATTTCTTAAATACGAATTCATTGTTACAAGTAAAAGCTAAAATATTATACACAGGGTAAATTTTATGTTAATTTGGAATTTTCAGAAAATTTCCGGAAATATTTTTTTCCGGAAATCATCTTACAAATTCCACCAAAATATATTTCCGATTAAAATGAAATAGTGTAAGATGCTCATATAGAACGGAATATAATTTCACAAGTTCAAAAATTACTAACTTTTCCCTTGACTTAAAAAAAATCTAAAAATAAATGTAGCGGATATTACTCAGTGATAATTTACCTTTTTGGTGGCAAAAAAAATATTTAAAAGCAGTAAGCAGCAGTTTCTTACTTTATTTGTTACACACAAAAAAATCTTTTACCTTTGAAATATCAACACAGAATAACGAATTTTTAATCTATCATCTGACAGCCATACAATTAAATTCCAAATAAAAAAAACATTTTTTTTATAAAAAAAATTGTCAAATACCCTAATTTTGCAAATTTAAGTTATATTATTCCTCCTAGATAAATAATGTAGCTTAGGTTTGTATAAATCTGATGTATCATACCTTTGCACCTTACTGCGGGGTGTTGTCTTCACCTTGCCGTTGTTTGTGTCCGGAGAGTTCTGTTCATAGTTCTCCACTGATTTATCACTTGATGGACTGTTTGGAAGATCTATAGGGGAAATCATTATAAATTAATAACAAAAATAACTATAACTTACTGTTAGGAAGAACATCCGACACTGTCCCAGTGTACTGTCACAACACTAGCCATACTAAAATGTCGACGTCTATGTCCCCTCACTATTCATTCTGACACTGCACTTTGTAATGACAGCGCGCCATTCGCGACAAAGGAATCTAACTAATAATGTCTAAAATTACTTCTGGATAAATAGTTTTTTAGAAGATATCTCCGGAATAGCTCAACAGATGATAATGAAATTTGACACATGTAGAACATATCGTGAAAGAGATTTTTTTCTCATTTTATTGGACGGAGTCGCGGGCGACAGTTAGTTTTATATTATCTGTACTTTAACGAATAACAAGGATTGTTTTATTTACAACCAAATTCATAACTTACTATTCTTTGGCCTAGGTAGACCTACTCTTCTTGCCCGGCCTAGGTATTTAGACCTAGTTGGCTGGGGCAGATTGTTATTAGACCTTTCGTCCATATCTAGAAACACAAGTAAATACTGTGATAAAGAAAAAAAACGACGCTCAGCAAAGAGTTATCTTTGTAGTAATCAGGAAAGTGTCTGTGTATAATATTGAAAAAGAAAAAAAAATCGCACACATAATTTTTGCAGTGCATAACGAAAAATGAATTTTATAAAATGTTTGTATGTCTGTCCGTAAGGCGTTTGTTTCGTGTAATCTTCAAATAATCCACTTCACCAGGTGGGATCGTGGTCAAGCGCTAGCTTATAAAACGTAAAAAAAAAATCTCCGGAACGGGTGGACGGATTTTGACGGTACTTCGACGGGAAGGTAGGTGATGCACGCGGGCATGTTATAGGCTATATTCTTAAAGCTAAAGAAGTCGCGGGCGACCGCTAGTCTTAAATATATGTTTTTGGAATGTAATATTTACCTTCAGTGGTGGATGATATTTGATCGGATGTACTTAATCTTCTTTTTTTGCTGGGAGTCAACACTCTATTATTATTCACTGTTTCAACTTCATTATGTTTCCTTTTCAAATTATTTTCACAACTACCCTCAATATTAGAATCATTTAAATAATCTATCTTAGGCATTTTCGTTGGCGAATCCGCTATTACGTTACCAAGTATGATTTCCATAATTTCTTGGCGAGATGTCTTGTTTACCATCTCTTCTAATTTAGCATCATAATCATTTGACAATTCAAAAGAACATTCCGATTTCACAGGACTGAATACTGATTCTGTTATCGATTTAGTTTCTGATTCATTATTTTCTTTATCCAGAGGTAATGAAACCTCATTAGATAAATTAACATTTTTAACGATATTCTTTGATTTAGGCAGTTTTAAATGACCGTTTCTTTGATAGTTGACTATTTCGTAATTCCCATATGTTTCTAATACCTCTTGTACTATACTCTCTTCGTATGGATCACAATTAATTAAATAAATTTTATTAGTTGTCGCGGCTGTGTAACCTTTTAAGAATTTCCTAAACCTATCTCTTTCTAATTCCGCGTTTTTTTTCTCACTTTCTTCGAAATAATAAAAATTGTTCTGTTCCGAATGAACTTTTTCTTCTATTGTGTTTTCATCAATTTCTATCAACATTTTTGTCTCTGGTTGATTCACTTCATCATCTGTCACTTCCTCAGCAATTACTGTTACTTCGAAATAAGTTGTTTTTTCTTTATCATCATCGATTTCTTTGTATTCATCAGAATTTTCTGTGTTTCTATCAATATTTTCTGGATTCAAATCCAAATTCGATTCAATCAAGTTCATTGTAGATTTATAAGATTCTTTACTTATAATGTCTTCGCTTGCATGAGCTTTTGCTTTATTATTTAACTCTTCGTTTATAATTTCAATGGATTCTGCAACTTCTTTAACTGTTAACGTAGAATTTATATCTTCTTCAACATGATCTGAGAAACCTTCATCTTCTGGATAATTTTGATCAGTTATAAATGTAGCATTTTGATGGCAAACATCACTCAGAACAATCTGTTCCGTATGTACTATAGTATTTGTAACGCAAGCAAATTCCAATTCCGGTCCAGGAATACTGGAATAAATTTGACTAAGATTCGGTCTAACATTCGCTTGAAATTCCAATAATAAAGCAGCTTCTTGATTCATCCGTTTTTGTTCTTCATCTAAATATTGACGCATTTTCATAAGTTTTTTAGCCTCTTCTAAGTTATTAGCGAATTTTGGTTTCTTAATTTGTACATCGGGAACTAAAGACAAAGGTGGTGATGCTATGGGTGTCTCTAAATGTGTTTCGAGCCTAACAATAGGTTTAGGTTGCAGCATATCAATTACTTCTTTCTCTTTTTCTTGTAATGTTAACTCCCTATCGTTAGGACTTCGACCTTCACCACTGCTAGTTGACATATTATCAGATTTTGAACTTCCACTCTTTGCGTCTTTTTTACTTTCAGATGATTTAGCACTGGATGGGTTATGTGACCCTTTAGAAGATGAACTACCATCATTGGAATCTCTGTCTGTAGACCTTCGATTAGGATTACCACGTCCTGACACACTGTAATGATCATCAGAGTCTTTCTTCTCTTTCTTGTCTTTATCTTTTTCATCGTGTTTACTTTTGCTGCTACTTTTCCTTTCTTTTTCAGAGCGAGAAGATTTTGAATCTCGAGACTTATCTTTGGACGACTTATCAGAACTTCTATCAGATTTATCTCTGTGACTCGAAGATCGTTTCTCATCTTTACCCGAATGTCGCTGACTTGAACTTGAACTTTTATATGATTTGGAATCTTTATGGCTAGAACTCTTATGGGAACTATGTCGAGACGATTCTTTACTCTCTTTCCTGTCAGTTTTATCTCTGTAGCTAGATTTTGATTTGCTGCTTTCATCTTTTGATTTCTTTTCATGTCTGCTGCTGTCACGAGAAGTTGAATGCTTTGAGTCAGATCGTCTGTCTTTGCTACTGGAATGTTTATTTGAATCTCTTGACCGATGTGAACTTTTATGACTGCTTTTTTTGTCTTCATTCTTTTGTCCTTTTTTAAAATCTTCCGATACATCAGCTTCAGTGGCCTTCTGTTCTGAGTTGACTTTACTATTTGCATCACTTTCGTAGTCAATTTGTAAGACGTTGCTATTAGAACTATCTTCATACATCGGAGTATTAAATGATGTTATATTTACTTGGTTATTAAACTGATAAGCCAAGTTTTGATCTGTTTGTTTCTTAGGTGGTTTTTCTGCATCCGTACAGTTTTCTGTTCCTTCTATTGTGAATCGGAATGAACTTGGCTCTTTTTTATCATCGTTTTTACCATCAGGTGAATCATTATCAAAACCTTGTTGGGCATCACAAGAATTTTCGTTATTAAAGTTTCTTATTGGTGTTAACGGCGACATATTTCGACGCAACGAAGAATCTGAACTTGAATCGTCATCTTCGCTATTGATTGTTTTGAAATATTCTTTATCATCTTTACGTATTTCATCCGGTAATGGAATATCTGTAGAATAATCTTTCGGTAATTCAATTTTCTCCAAAATCACTTCTTTAGGTGGACTATTTTCTGGTGGTGGTATATTTTCTAGCTTGATTTCTTCAGATGGTAGGGGAATTGAACTTTTATCAATACTATTAGATTCGGGTGAAGTTAATTCGCTCACTCCAGATTCTTCTTGAGTTTCAGTCTTTGCTGTATCAACGTGTTTTGTCTCAGTTGTGTTTGGCTCTTCATCTTTTATTTCTTTTACTTCTGGTTTGAGTTTATCTTTATCATCAATCTCCATACTTTCGTTTTTTGTAGCAGGGACATTATTGTCCACTTCCATAACTTCATTTTTATCTTCATTGCTTTTAACTGACCCAGGACTAACAGCTTCTAAATCAGTTGGTAGTAGTTCAGTTTTCTCTTCAGATGTCTCCGCATTATTGACAGAAATTTTTCTTGTTATACCTAAATAGTTATAAACTAAATCTTCTACTTGTGGAATGAATACAGATGCTACTTTCGGGTTAACAACTTGATCAACAATTCGTTCAACTCCTTGTTCAAGATAATTGCCACTGAAAGAAAATAATTAATAAAAATTAATTATGAGTTATCGAAGAAGACCTAGATAGAGATGGATATATTGTGAGTAAGATGATATAATTAAGGGAGCGAGAACTGAGGGCCTAGCATGAATATTCACCAACAAATTATACAAATATTGACATACTTTGTTAATATCGTTACGAAGGCTTGTTTCGCAAATATTCGTGCTAGGACCTCTGAAATGACAACCTGGAGGAAGAGAATCTGCGCCAGCGTCATTTAGAAAGATAGAAAAAAACTTTTGCCCATAGACATCCACAATTGCAGATGCTTTGCCTACTTAACATGTGCTGTAAACACTTACTCCAAGATGTGCTTTCTAAGTTTTTCTCTTAGTTGATTCTTATTCAGATCCGGCTGCCAGCATTGACGAGATAGGAATGTAGTTACTGAGTTCTCTACCCGCTGCCTTAAATTCTGGTATGCCGGTCTTGTGTCCACATCTGCGATACAATCCTTACGAAACTGAAATATGAATTTTGTATATAAAGCTATGTTATATACAGACTAGTACAAATATATATTGCAGTTCTTATTTTGTTAAAACAACTGAAAGAGATAACAATATGTCATTACAAATGTTACTACATTCAGTTTTATGATTACATTTCTCTGTAACATTCTTGGGAGATTTCGGAACCCCCTATATTACATTCGCGGTTGGCCAAATGAGGTTTTTGAGTCAATAACCTCTATAACCATGTCTTATCCACAGAATGCAGGGATACAATGATTTCCACCACAATACCAAACAAAAAATTGTTTTTTTATATACAATCCTTTCGAGCGGGAGTTTCAATAACAAGCCTTTAGCGGATGCTGAAATGGATGTCCTGGTATGTACTATTTCTGTTGTTTTCTTTGTCCTTTCATTTTTATATGTATTTAGTATGTCCTAAACTAATTATTAATATCTTTTCTAGTTAAAGAAATAATGATTTGCAACATAATATGTCATCAATTCAAAAATTACTTTTCCATGGTTTAGAAAACTATTTTGAAGATTTACATATAAGAACAATCATGATTAACAAAAGTAAGCCCTAATAATTATACATTAGAGTTTTTTTTCGTTAATTAATAGAGAAGTGCATTGATTTTACTCTTATTTAACGAATTTACAACATAACTGTTCACACAATTTCTACATTTACTTTTATGTGCAATACCTTGTAAAAAACATATTGTTGGCTGTCTCTTTCAAAGACAATGAAAAGGATGACTATTGAACATAATTTTACAGTCAGAACATAAGACATATCAATCCACGGTTCAACAAGCAATTGTCACAAAAACACAATATGATAAAAAAGTAAATTCGCACAACAAATATTCACTACCAAAATATCTTAAAACATTTTGGTTAGTTTGGAAAGAGCTTTCTACTAAACATACAATATGAATAACCTTAAGGTTAAACCTATTATGAAAGTGATTAAAAACAATATTGGAAATTATTGTGAATGACAGATAGTTATTTTTTAGATAGATTTTCAATATTAATTTGATGAGATAAACATGAAAAAGGAAATAACTTATAAAATATTTATACTGTTTGTTGCATATGGGACATACGTAATAATTATAAATATGACACTATATAGGAAAGATTCTCTATGTAAGAACCTAGATAGCACATGTTTCTTGATTTTTCATGACAATTGTACAACGTTTTTATGGACAGACATTTAACACATTTATAATTAACTTATACAAAAAAAATACACAAAAACAAACTCTGTTAGTTTTTTATATTTACCATTTCGATATAAAAAATAATTAATAAGATTTTTCTAGCAGAATGTTTCAGATAATACTTTCGTTTCTAATAAGTATTTTAAGATTATATAAATATTTTTTGTTTGCTATGGAAAAACTAACTCAATAATCAATAATTTAAATATATAAGCAAGTAATATATACCTGGTCGAAAATCCCTTTCGATTTAAGTTCATATACTAATTGATCAACTAAACGTGGATCTCCAGGCAAATATTGCAAATGTGCCATATTTATACTATATATTAAACATGTATAATAAAACTAGGTTTATTAAAATATGTTATATTTCAATTAAACTTTACTGAACGCAAAAAATCACTTGAACAAATTGAAATATTAAAAATACTGACATTTGACAACTTCAATGACAATCTCTTAAAAATTGTGTCTTCGCTTGTGTTATCGATGTGTAAAAATTAATTTAATTTATTTTGAAAAAGATCGTAATAAGCTAATTCGATTTAGATTGTACAAATAAATTTGGTAATAACAAATTCTAATGCACTTTTGAATAAAACGGCAAATGTTTTTAGTTTCCTTTGCTTTTACTTTGTCCACATTTGTCTTAAAAAAATAAGTGTCAAATTTAAATTCTAGCGGTTTGTGGATTTTAACTAAAGTTTTGAACGAATACAAATATAAAAATGAAAGGGGAATTAAGCATCGAAAAAACAAATTTGTTTTTGAAATTAGATCAAATAGATAAACAAGAACAACAAGCAATTGGTAAGTTGTTTTAATAAATTTTTCGACTAAATAAAATGGTTCACTACAAGTGTCACAATTTCTCTGAGAAGTGTCATTTTTAATTTAGTCTTTTTTCTTCGTCAATGTTTATAACCTTTAAGTTATGATTGATGCAGACTTATTTATAATTTAATAAATATTTAAGCAGAGAAAAATGAATAAACTAACGTCATATACGATAAAAGAAATACACAAAGCATATCGTGACAAAATCTTAACTCCTATCAGCTTTATTGATTTATGTTTGCAAAAGGCGAGACAAACGAGTAGACTAAATGCATTGGTGACTATAACAGAAGATGTTGCAGAAACTCAGAGTATTGAAAGTGAAAAAAGATTTTATATTGAGAAAAACATTAAACCTCTAGATGGGATAACAATAGCTGTCAAGGATAATTTCTGTACCAAAAATATTCCTACAACTTGCGCGTCGGAAATGTTAAAAGACTTTATACCAACTTATGATGCCACAGTTTACTCTAAATTAATAAACAATGGAGCTTGTTTAATTGGTAAGAGCAATTTGGACGAATTTGCCATGGGATCTGGTACAGTGGACTCAATTTTTGGCCCAACTCGAAATGCTTGGGGTTACAATGGTGACACAGATTGGAGAATAGCTGGTGGTAGTTCTGGAGGAAGTGCAGTAGCCGTGAGTACCGGAGTCTGTGTTGCTGGAATCGGTTCCGACACTGGAGGTTCAACACGAAACCCTGCAGCTTTATGTGGTGTGGTCGGAATCAAACCATCATATGGTTTAGTGTCAAGATATGGTCTCATACCTTTAGTGAATTCAATGGATGTACCGGGAATAATTGCAAGAAATGTTGAAGATGCAACTAGAGTTTTAAACTGTGTTGCCGGACCTGATCAACTAGATTCAACTACAATAAAAAGAGATTTTAAACCGATAGAACTGAAAGATATTGATTTATCAAACATAAATATTGGAATTCCGAGTGAATATCATTGTGATGGTATGAGTGAAGACGTTATTGATGCATGGAAGTTTGTGGAAGATTTACTTGAAAAAGAAAAAGCTATAATAAAAAAAGTATCATTACCGTATACATCAGTATCTATTGCTGTTTATTCAATATTAAATCAGTGCGAAGTTGCAAGTAACATGGCACGGTATGACGGTTTAGAATTTGGACTTAGAACTAATGAAGATTATTCAACAGAAGAATTATACGCTTCATCAAGATCTCAAGGCTTTAATAATGTGGTCAGATCACGAATATTCGCTGGAAATTATTTCTTACTAACACGGAATTATGAGAAATATTTCCTTAAAGCTTTAAAGTTGCGTAGATTAATAGCAGATGATTTTAAAAATGTTTTTAACGGTGAAAATTGTGTTGATATACTACTTACTCCTACTACTCTGTGTGATGCACCATTGTACGGTGACTTTGTATCAAAACATAACAGAGATCAATGTGCATTTCAGGATTATTGTACACAACCAGCCAATATGGCTGGAATACCTGCGGTGTCAATACCTATACGATTGTCAAAAAATAAATTGCCCATTTCACTGCAATTGATGGGACCAAATCTGTCCGAAGAGTTGTTGTTAAATGTTGCTAAAAGAATTGAAAGTCTAGTTAATTTTCCTACTTTAGAATCTGCAAATTAGACTGTTCTGATGCATAACATTGATTTTTTATTAAGTCAAATGTAAAATGACTGATTCATACTTTATTTATTGTTGGTTTCTGAGGCTACAATCCCTATTTAAAATCATCAACCCTCTCATTATCTTTGACAACACAGAAATTGATATGTTTTAAGCGAGGATTTTTGTCTCGGAAACTAATAATGAATGATGTAAATATGTCAAGATTAGTTATGATTTATCATAAATAAAATATTATTAGTAACCTAATAATTATTTCAAACCTCCTACATTATTTATTTTATACATTCACACCATCTAGAATCTATTTGTCCAAGTTTAGTATATCTTAAAACCTTTCTTCACAGGTAATACCAACACAGAAATACTATCAAAGTTGAATATATCTCTTGATACATTACCACTAAAATGTCAGGAGCTTATCTCAAAAGTAGCAACGGAGCAAGTCACATTGAGTGTAAACCGTTTGGACCCAATTGCTATTTCTCTTCAGCAATCCCGACAAATAGCTAAAAATTTAGAAGATGAATATGAAATATTGAAATTGAAACTTAAAAACAAGGAGTTACAAGTCAAAATCGATCGCAACCAAAGGTTCATGGATGATCTGAGGAAGGAATTGGACAGTTCAATAGAATCTTTATCCAAACAGTCTCCAAACCCTGATAGTATAGAGGAATGTATAAAACAAATGAGACAGAAAGTTGCGTCGTATGAAGAGTCATATAAAAAAGCTACGGTAAGAGAAATCTTTCTGTTACTTATATAGAGTTTAAAAACATGACAAATTCGCAACATTTTCTAAAAGACAGCCAAATCTAAATCTCTCATTTCTAACATATCTTGCAGACGGGGCCGCGGATGAGAGCGAAAGCGTGACCGTGGTCCCGTCCCGATGCATTGGAGGAACAGAGGGGTTTAGTGGGTATGCCTCCGCTATGGAGGAGAATCCCACATAACTACCGCGTCCCCCCCGGGGCGCGGAGTATGCATAAAGCATTCCTCTCTGGAAAAAAAATCTCTAACATATCTTATTACTTTGTAAGAGGTAGTTTTGTTTTTTAGTGTGCATTTCTGCCGTACCAACTTGCTCCATCACCTCCGTAATCTGCCCCCAAACTATTATTTTACTACCTTTTTTATGCAAATCGTTTGAGAGTTACTTTATCTATAAAAACAATTTAAATTTTTAGTATCAAGTTAAAAAAACCCTACACTTCATTTTAATACAAATTGTTTGAGAGAGATTGTGACTAAGAAAAAAAGTAATCACTCATATTTAATTTCTTTTGCCTAAATGATTCTTAAACAATATGCATAAAGATGTAAAAAACAATAAGTGTGGGGCCAAGTTCAAGGAGGTGTTATTGTCCACAGATGAAGTTTTCAAAGCTCTCAGTACCGGATTCAGTATTACCTAAGTCTCTGCAGGCACAATTGGCCACTTTGGCCTCATTGCGGGAAGAAGAGACCATGTGGAAGCAGCGAGCTGATGATGTACTCTTCACCAGACAAGCTAGGGACGCGTTCAGGAGACGAAAATGATATGTTTTTTTTAGTTTTAATTGTAAGAAATAAATTATTTAAAATATCATAGTTTTTTTCTAAATAAATGGTCATAAGAGTTAGCGCTAGTGTATCGTGGTGTTCGGTGAAAACATAATTCCATAGATGTTAAACATTTTGTCATCGAAATTGTATTTTTAGAATGGTAACACTTTACAATTTTATTATTTACTTTGTAATGGGGAAATTTCATTTTCATAATTAAACTTCACACAATAATAATACCATTTAAATAAACATTTTTTCAAAATCAAAGCTTTATTCAAAGTTTACATAAGTATAGATAATACATAAACCGTTCGTAGATTTTAAATTTTTACTAAATAGATTTAATAAAAGCGAGAATAAATTTAACATGATTTAAATTCTGCAATATTTTAAGAAAACAGTAAAGTTTTAACGTTAAAATTCCATAGCAAAATTCTTTCAATAAATTATAATTAATAATTCAAAAGTATGTTTTAGCTATAGCGCTCAATATTCTGGAATAACGATTACAAGGTCGTCCAGATCCCAAAGATAGATTTAGTCAAAATGGTTTGCGGGAGTCATCATTATCGATCCTTGGAAGACGGCTACGATCAGTGAATCGAATAGTTGCCATCCTTCTCATTTTATTTGAAACAATCTGAGATAGCAATACTAGAGTACATTTAAAATGTTTCGGGCTATTTACTTAAAATCTATGTAATAACTGGTAATTTTAATTATCCACTAATCTTAACTAAATTAAAACTAAATGACATAATGTAGACAAATATATGCCCTTTGATTATTCGAATATCAAAGTGGGTTCTTTAAACGCTGTTGTTTTTGTGTTGCTCGTACTCATTTCACCTTGTACTTTGTCTTGACAGATTTCCAGAGTTTTCGCTGTAATCAATTACAATTTAAATATATATTAGGAGTTACTTAAAAATAATACGCAGACCCGTGATGCCCCTTTCTGTGCCTGGTCGGCCAAGTACGCCCGTAACTACGTACTGAATGTAACCCTTCCCTTCTGCAATTTTACATGATTTAAGCGTTCCACTGCTGATACTGCTGAACAATGTATAAAATGGCACGAGTCTTTTATCACGTTTACTGAAAAATCACTTCACTATATTTGATGGTTCGGAGTAAGATTCTATGAATTCCGATAAACCAAAGTATACCTTTCTCTTTTTCTGAATGAAACATCTCCTCTAAAGGCATTACATGCTGTCCGGCGCCCAAACGTCCTCTAAGTCCCCACAGGAATACATTCTTAGTGATTGTATTTATCCCAGACTCCTTTTTAGTCTGTAACTCCTTGTCTCTCATGTCCACAGTCTGACATTGGATCTCAGATCGTAAATGACTGTAGATAGTTTGGGTGGAAT